AAGTAGTACATGTAGAGAACATTACGTTAGATAACTCTTTTAATTACTCTAGAGTATTGTTAGGTCAAGTAGTCCATCTAGAGAACATTACGTTAGATAACTCTTTTAATTACTCTAGAGTATTGTTACGCACCTAGGGCACCAAGTAATTTGTTTGTTTGTTGTTAAGCGCAAAGTTACACAATTAGCTATCTGTGCTGTGCCCACCACTGGTATCGAAATCCGGTTTTTAGCGTTATAAGCCTTCAGACTTACCGTTGAGCCACTGGGGAGTGTAAGGGGTAGGTAGAGGAGCGTGTAGATAACTTGAATGGATGTTGTATGTTAGACGTATTTTTTTAAAGTTAATAAGATTTATTGACATTCGCAATAATTGCAAACTTTGAAAAACTCAATAGTGCCAGCGTGAAAATGTTATTTCGAGATATTTAGAAGAATGAATTTCCCCTTTTTATAGACACGATCTATATACAGAATATTAATATTAATTAATTGTTCGGAGAACATTCCTAATTTTTGTATTCTATTGAAATAATACATATGCAAACTACCATGAAAAGATTTTCTTGTTCATTTTAGCCACCCAATGGCTCAACGGAAAGTCTGAGGGTTTATAACGCTAAAAATCGAATTTTAATACTCGCGTTGGGCACATTATTGACAGCTCACTGTGTAACCTTTTACAAACAAACTTTGGTTCCAGCGGCAACTTTTAGGGCTTATAAAGAAAGCTATGTTAAAAATCTGGTTTTGATACCCGTGGTAGGCACAGCACTGATAGCTCATTAGCTCTTAATAATAAATTTTTTCAAATAAATCGCAAGTTTTGTATACAGCCAATAACTGAACTCCTAAGCTTTAAAAAAAAAGATGAACAGTAATTAAAAGCTAATTTATTCCTTTAAATATTCGTAATTTGAATCGATAAAACAAAATTTATCAACATTTTCAATGTAAAGCTGTTAGTTGGAGAAGTGATGATAATGAAATTCAGTTGTTCAATGTATGAAAATACTGAAGAACGAATTCAGCTTTTGTTTCTTTGTCACGGCAGTATGACTCCTGACGCTGTTGCCATGACAACGATCACCCCTTCCCTATTCGTGGCTAAGGAACAGATGGCAGGTATTTCGTCTGCCACTTTCCTTATTCATCATGGCGAATGTTATTGTAACTCTTTTGACCTATTCTCTCATAATAATATCCCAGATCGAACAACACCAAACAGCAGAAATTCTAAAAAGGTATTTATAAGGTGTTATTCTAAATCATCAGCTATCGCTTTAAGCCTGGAAACAGTTGGTTCAGTTTGGCCTAAAGTTCAATTTTGTAAAAATGATATAAACCTGCGGGGCAGCCTAACTGTCACGTAATCAGTTGTTCGTATACAAATGGGTTAGAGTATGGTTTGAGTGTGTCTACTGGTGCGCTTCTTTTGTTTGCCTTCCTGTTGTTGTGGCACTGGAGACTTTAAACCTGTAGCGATTAAAGAATTATGTTTATAAATTTAATAACTGCCACCAGGAGTGCTTTAAATACTATCAGATGCTTTTCAAATGTGTAATATTTTAGAAAATAATATCTAAGTATTATTTTTATTTAAATTATTGAAATAATGTAATACATGGAAAATATTAAAAATATAATGTGACCAAGCCATAAAAAAAGTAAATTTTATGAAGGTTGGTTATATAATTAATCACAAATAAAAGTTCAGGAAAACAATAGATTTTAAGATTTCATTGAAATCTTCAGTTACTTATGTGTCTATTTTCTTTCTTCGGTAGATCAAAGTTAAGTTTACAAACTATGAAATATAAAAACGTGACTTTCTTAAAAACGGTAATTAGCTTTTAATCGTTTTTCTCAGTGGAACAGGATTTAGAAAATTTATGTCATTGTTATATTTTTTACAGTATAAAATGATCGTATAGTAGTATAAAATTCTTGTGCTCTGGATGAGGGTTTAAACAAACATATCAATATAGAATTTGATTGGTTTACAGACACACTATTTTCCAGTACAAATAACGATGTAACTTTATAAACGATTTGATAAAAACGAATTTCACCATGAAAGGCACAAGAGGGAAACTGATATTTTATATATAAGATCGTGTGGAAAATATTGGAAACAACAGTCACACAGAGTTTTCAAGGGAATTTTGTTAGAATACAGAAAATTTGATTTTTTTCAATGATGTAAGATTGCATGTATTGCTCATTAAAGTTTCCTTTTTTTCACTCTACTCCGGCGAGTTTGGTTACTCCACAAATTGTAGTAGACCTGTAAACACTGTTAAACTTTATACAGTGCACTAACTTACTAGACCATGTTATTCTTCAGATTGTACTAACCCAATAGACGTAACTTGTATTTAGACTGTACTAGTCCAGTAGACAATGTTAGTACCCCAGACTGTACTAGTCCAGTAGACGCTGTTAGTCCCCCAGACTGTACTAGTCCAGTAGACACTGTTAGTCCCCCAGACTGTCAGACTGTACTAGCCCAGTAGACACTGTTAGTTCCCCAGACTGTACTAGGCCAGTAGACACTGTTAGTCCCCCAGACTGTCAGACTGTACTAGTCCAGTAGACAATGTTAGTACCCCAGACTGTACTAGTCCAGTAGACACTGTTAGTCCACCAGACTGTACTAGCCCAGTAGACACTGTTAGTACCCTAGACTGTACTAGCCCAGTAGACACTGTTAGTACCC